AAGGAAAAGAAATAGAGTTTTGGGGTTTAATATTTTTTTGGATATTTAGGGGATTGGTTTGGATGAGAATGGCTGGGTTTTAAGTGGGAGTTGGGCTCAGGGAAATTATGGCTATGTGGCGGGTTTTAGGATTGATAAGCTCGGTCCAAAAGGGATCATAACATTTAGCCATTATTCCATTAATTTGCTTAACGATTTTAGAGTCGATGGTAGTCTCCCGGGGTATATCATCCTCCCCTTCTTCAAAAGAGTTTGTCCTCAAACTCAGAATTTCTTCAGGATCAAAGTACGGGTGATGTCCTTGATGTTGAATGTGGCCGATACTCCATAGTCTCTTGGAAGGTTGATTTTGTAGGCATTGTCATTTACCTTCTCCAATATCTCAAAGGGTCCATCGGCCCTCGGTAACAGCTTCGACTTGCGTTTCGTTGGGAAACGCTCTTTCCTCAGATGAATCCAAACAAGATCTCCTAGTTGAAAGTGGGCGTCCTTCCTTTGTTGATGCGTGTACTAATCTTCTCATTCATAGCTTCGATTTTGTCTCGAACTTTGTTGTGAAGGTCCTGAATTTCCTTCGATCTCTTGTCTGCTTCCCAACTATACTTGGTATCCGTTATGATAGGATCAAGCTCTAGTGGGGTCAGGGGATTCGAACCATAGACAATGGTGAAAGGAGATAGTCCGGTAGTCTTGTTTAGAGTTCAGTTGTAAGCAAACTCGGCATGCGGTAGCAACTCCTCCCAGGGTTCGGAGAAGAGTTCCAAGAGTTCGGTTGGTAGCTTCAGTCTGCCCATCCGTTTGGGGGTGGCTTGTTGTACTAAATTTGAGTTTAGTACCCAACTTTCTCCACAGAGTTGTCCAAAAGTGGCTAAGGAATTTCGTATCCCTATCTGAGACCATGCTTCGGGGAACGCCATGGAGTTTTATGATCTCTCGGAAGTAGAGATCAGCCACTTGAGATGCATCATACGTTGTAACACATGGCACGAAATGAGCCATTTTTGAAAAATGATCCACCACAACCATGATGGAGTCTTTTCCTCGTTGAGTCCTTGGCAGCCCGGTGATGAAATCCAAGCTGATGTCTTCCCATGGTGCATTGGGAACGGGTAGGGGCAGGTGCTTTCCTTGGGGCAGCGAATGTCCTTTAGCTAAATGGCAAGTATTGCAACGCTTGATGAAGTGCTCTACGTCCCGCTCCATCTTAGGCCAATGGTAGTGTTCTCTCATCATCATGTGAGTCTTGTCGACTCCATAATGACCAGCTAGGCCTCCTCCGTGGACTTCATCGATGAGGGTTTCGCGAACGCTGCACTTCGGGATGCATAGTTGATTACCACGGAAAAGATAGCCATCTTTGATAAGAAATTCACTCAAAACCAACAAGTTTGGTACTAAGTACCGTTAGTAATATATGTCTCCGTGACAAGGCATCGGCGCCCTTGTTCATGCTTCCATTTTTGTGTTTGATGGTGAAGGTGAAGGTTTGGACGTACTCGACCCATTTGGCATGACGGGGTCGGAGTTTATGTTGCCCTTGGATGTATTTCAAGGCCTCATGATCAGAATGTAGGATGAACTCTTTGCTTATAAGGTAATGGCACCAATGTTCAAGGGATCGCACCAAAGCATAGAGCTCCTTGTCGTAGGTGGAATACCGCCTCCTCGTATCATTTAGCTTTTCGCTAAAGAATGACACCGGGTGCCCTTCTTGAGATAGGACAGCCTCTATTCCAACTCCCGAGGCATCACACTCCACCTCGAATAGTTTGTCAAAGCTAGGAAGGGCTAACACGGGGGCATGTGTTAATCGTTCCTTAATCGTCTCAAATGCTCGTTGGGCCTTGGGATTCCACTCAAACTCTTGATTTTTAGTCAAATCCGTGATGGGTGCGGGGACTGAAATCTTTCACAAATCTCCGATAGAAGGAAGCAAGCCCATGAAAGCTTCTAACTTGCTGCATGGAGGTTGAAATGGGCCAATCTCGAATGGCTTGAGTTTTCTTCTCGTCAACCTTGATGCCCTCGCTTGAGATAAAGTATCCCAAGAACTCCGTTTCTCGAGAGAAGAATTGGCTCTTCTCGAGGTTCCCGTACAGCTTCTCTTCGTCCAACCTTTTAATCACCAAAGTGAGGTGATTAACATGCTCTTCTTCGCTCTTGCTATAAATCAGAATATCATCGAAGTATACAACGACAAAATGACCTATGAATGGCTTCAAGACTTGATTCATAAGTCTCATGAATGTACTCGGGGCATTGGTTAATCCGAATGGCATGACCAACCATTCGTACAACCCGAACTTCGTCTTGAACGCTGTTTTCCACTCATCTCCTTCGAAGATGCGAATTTGATGGTAGCCACTCCTTAGATCAACTTTTGAAAAGATTTTTGAGCCATGCAGCTTGTCCAACATGTCCTCCAAACGTGGGATTGGGTACCGGTATTTGATAGTGATCTTGTTGATAGATCGACTATCACAACACATACGCCACGTTCCATTCTTTTTAGGCACCAAGAGTGCCGGGACAGCGCATGGGCTAAGGCTTTCTCTCATGAAGTTCTTAGCTAGCAACTCATCAACTTGACGTTGAATCTCTTTTGTCTCCTCGGGATTCATCCTATATGCCGGTTTGTTAGGTAGGGCAGCCCCCGGAATAAGGTCAATCTTGTGTTGTATGTCCCGTTTAGGAGGGAGGCCGTGTGGTACATCGTCAGGAAATACATGGGGGTATTCTTCAAGGATTGGTTGAGCTAGAAGATGGGGATGTTTTGGGGGAGTGTGGGGTTCGGTTTCTCCATCTTCCAAAAGGATTAAGTCTTTAATCCCATGGAATTCATGTTGCTCGGATTGTAAGATAGTGGAGATAAGAACGGGGGGTGGTCTTTGGTTGGTTTGGCCGTGGCTGAAGGAGGGGGTAAAGGGGTAAGGGTGATCTTCTTCTTATTCATCGAAAATGAATAAGTGTTGGCATATCCATCATGTTGCACACGATGATCAAACAGCCATGGTCGTCCCAAGAGGATGTGGCATGCGTCCATCGGAATGATATCACACCATACTTCATCTTTATACGAACTGCCAATGCTTAAGGAAATGAGGCTTTGTGTGTCAACACGTAAACCCTTGCCATGATTCAACCATTGAATCGTATACGGTTTCGGGTGCGGTGACGTCTTTAAACGCAGCTTGTCCACCATGGTTTTGGAAGCCACATTGGTGCAACTCCCGCTTACAATGATGAGGGAACACACCTTCTTTTGGACAGTACAGCGGTTGTGGAATATATTTTTCTCGTTATAGTTGTTCTTCGGGGCATACTAGAGTGCTCAAAGTCCTACGGATGACCAGGAGTTCACCATCATCGGGACCAACGTACTCATCTTGTTCGTCCGCTTCTTCAACTTCTTCTTCGACCCAAGTTGGGTCGCAATCTTCTTCATCACACTCAACGATCGCCATAACCTTCTTGTTAGGGCACTCGTTAGCGTAGTGACCGCGCCCTTGACAACGGAAACAAATAGGGGCTTTCTTGATGGGATCAGCCCTTGTGGGGAAGGAGGTGGAGGGGTTTTTGGACGGTGTTGGGGTTGAGGAGTTGGGGGTTTGGCCGTGGGCAGTAGGGGGTCTTTTGGAAGGATAATAGGTGGGTTTTTGGGAGATTGGGTTAGGCCGTGCATAGGTAGGGTTGGGTTTGGAAAAGAGGGACTTGGACTTCTTGATTTGTTCCTCAACTTTGAGGGCTAACTTGGTGAGCTCCTCGAGGGTCTCGTAGTTTTGTAACTCCACCGTATTGGCTATTTGTAGGTTCAAGCCAAAAAGGTAGCGTACAAAGGTTTGCTCATCGTCTTCTTGTAAGTCACACCTCAGCCAGAGTTCCTCGAACTCTCGGTTGTAATCTTCCACGGACTTTGAACCTTGCTTAAGTGTTTGGAGCTTAGCAAAATTCTCAGGAAAGTACTCAGCGGGTAAGAACTTCTTCTTCAAGAGGGACCTCATTTTAGTCCAAGTAGACACTGGTTCCTTACCGTTTCTTCTTCTTTTGGTGCAAGTATTGGTCAACCACATGGATGCATACTTGCGGAACTTCAAGGACACTATCTTGACCTTCTTCTCATCGGAAACTTCTTTGAAATCGAAGACGTGTTCCACCGTTTCTAGCCACTCTAGAAACTCGTCCGGGTCATTCCTTCCTTCAAAGGTCGGGATGTCCACTTTGAAATCAGACCCGTCATTAGTTTTGGCCTTGGTGGTGCTACTAGTGCTAGCATCATCCTCATGATCACTTCCTTGAAGGGTGCTAAGCTTTATCTTGGTGAGCTTAGCTACCTCCTTGGCCAAGTACTCTACTTGGGACTTTAAGGCGGCGTTGGATGCAACGAGTTCTTCATGAGACATGGGCTGAGATTCATTTGACATGGTTGGGCTGCGAACAAAGGGGTGGTAAAAAAAGGGGAAAAGGGAAAGCTTGAGGGAAGTGCTGTGGTCCTTGGGGATGCAGAACAATGGGCTCTGATACCAAATGTTAGACCCGAGCTCGGGGATGAGGCTTTAATTTTAAGAACAAAGCTTCTTAAACTGCAGGAAAGGAGGATAGTCGATTATCCAGGTATGATAATCGACTAACAGGTGCTTCAGTTTCTCAAGAGAATTTTCAGAAGTTTCAGGAGAGGTAGTCAATCGATTGACCAGATGGAGTCAGTCGACTATTGTGGGCTGCAGAATTTTCTGAGGAAGCTGATAGTCGATTGTCTAAGATTGACAGTCGACTATTGAAGGCTGCGGGGGTTTTGAGAAGGAGGGGTACTCGATTGTCAAAAGTGATAATTGATTATCAGGCGGTTCGGGAAAGGAAAAGAAGTATTCTTTGGGAAAGGGGAGCAAACCAAGTTGGTGTTTAAGAGATATTACACACTCTTATCTTAACTTGGGGTTGAATCTAGCATTCAAATAAGATATTACACACTTATTTAAATATCCAGAACCTAAAACTCACACTCAAGAGAACCACTTTTAAGATATTGATTTAGGAATTTAAAATAGTACACACAAACAAGTGTATTACTAAGTTGAAAATGGGAATACAATATATGTGTTTACATTAGGGGTGAGCTTATATAAGCATAGAAAAAGGAGACTACCAAGTCTCTTATTCACACAAACTAAAGGAATTAATGGCCACATGTTGATGTTCTTTTGGTGGGGGAAAAACACAGGGGTGATTGTACTTGTAGGGTAGGATTCTTGGCCATTAGTGGTAGGAGGGAATATGTGAATATAATTCACAATTGATTGGCTTTGGGTGGGGCTGTTTTTGGGCAGGAGGAAAAGTTGGATGGTAGGCTATTTGGATGCATTTTTTGGGCAGGATATGGGGGAATCAAATGGGGTTGAAGGGTGTGGGTGTGGGCCAAAGTGTCTTGGATTTTTGTGGCTGTTTGTTTAGCCAAGTTGAGGTGTAAGGAAGTGGTAATGGCATGGTTAAGGGCTAAGGTTTTGGTCAGGGATGGAGGGAGGAAAGGCAAGGAAAAGAAATAGAGTTTTGGGGTTTAATATTTTTTTGGATATTTAGGGGATTGGTTTGGATGAGAATGGCTGGGTTTTAAGTGGGAGTTGGGCTCAGGGAAATTATGGCTATGTGGCGGGTTTTAGGATTGATAAGCTCGGTCCAAAAGGGATCATAACATTTAGCCATTATTCCATTAATTTGCTTAACGACTTTAGAGTCATTAGTAGTCGCCCGGGGTATATCAATGATTCTTGGTTCTTCAAACAAGTCAAACACAAAACTCAACCAAACGACCGTTTATGAACGTAGAAACGATCTATATGAACATTCTAATCACTAGATATATCTACGGGCTTACCTCGAAGCTTAATGGAGGTTTTGAAGATTTTCTGGCGAAACTTCCGGCGACAACAGCTCTCAACTCCGGCAACCTCACACCAAATTGACAGCACCACTGCGTTCTCCATACTCAAGGCTATCTCTCATATCGAATTTGATGAAAAATGGTGAAGAAATGGTGAAGTTGGGTTTCTTATATAGCAAAAGAATGGAGGAAGAGGCCAAGGTGATGATGTATCCGTTCCTGTTTCGGCGTCTCAGTGGAGGGGGCTGTAGTTCCTACAGATTTTAAACATAAGTCCCTGATTGGGACTACTTTTGGTCTAGTCGGGGTACACTTCTTGGTCCAACGTTCTCCAAATTGAAATCCGTTTGCACCGTTGCGATCATGCAGTTAAACTCTATCTGAAGATATAATTTTCATATTTATTTGTAATACTTTTTCCGACATCATATTTTTGGGTGGTTGACTTTGACAGAGTCAAAATTCATTTAATTGACCTTTGTTCAATAAAATTCATATATTTAATTCATATTATTTATTTTCATGATTTATTTCAATAAATAATTTCAAACTTCACATTATAAACAAATCCCTAATTTGGATCTATACTCTGGTTCCCCAAATTAAGATCATACAGTAAGTCAACATATTGGATTTATCTCTATGAGATTTATCCAGATTGTGATATTGGATATCAATATATGTTTTATTTCGGCCCAAAGCCCAACAACAATTTATTTTAATCAAAACAAATTTGATTAATTGAATAATTATTCATTAATAATTCTAGGGTATATTTTGGGGCGTTACATTTCTCCCCCCCCCCCTAAAAGGAATTTCGTCCTCGAAATTCTTTTGAGGTTGCACAATCGATATCTTGTGGTATTTACGACAATCATGAATGCGTCAGGTTAAACTATAATTACGTCATTATCCACACGGATACGTATTCTCGATGTTTATCAAACTCGTTCTTTCTTCAAGAGATTAACAATCTTAGATTAAGCAAGGTTTCCAACAATCCTTTTCCTAGGTTCCCGTTCAGATTAAACATCCACAACCAAGTTTCCTTTGCAGGGTATAATATTGTATTTTGAGGCATATTTGACATACTTGCACATCACTTCGTTCATTCACAATTCTCAATTGTACAACGTCGATTAACGATATTCTTCCTTTATTTGAAAGTCCTTCTGTAGCATTTTCAGTTTCAAGTTCGCGATAGATGTAGTGGAAGATTTGGAGGTTGTTAATTCATACGTCATAGCGTAATCTTCCAAGTCATCCAAAACATCTTCACATAGTTCAGCAATGACTCGTAAATAAAGTCAAATAACTTTTATCGGTTCATGATTTTTTAGAATATGGGATTAGTCATCATTTATGAGGAAATACTGTTGATTGATTGTACAGTAGTTTGTCATCATCGACCTTACATCGAAACATTTCTTTGCTCATCTTCATAGTAGTTCTCATTATCGTTAATGAGTCCACGTACCAATTCTTATTTATACGTGATAACGTTTGCGTATTGTCTCGTGTAGGTCTTGTCGTATCCAAATTTCTTTAATCAATTTTGAAAACATATCTAGATATGATAGCGACAGGTTCGATTGTAACACTATGGTTGATCTCGTTTCGAGGGAAAAAGAGAATATTTTTAGTACGTGATTCAATTCATGAATTCATAGAGTGAGGGATCTTTACAAGTTCTAACACCAACATCGCATATAGGTTAGGGATTTTCGCTTGAATGATTCAGCTTGTTCTCGTGACGTCATTTCTTCTCTGGTTGTTGCACACACATATCCTTGCTAGGGTTATAACGGAGTTTTTTTGGTCAATAAGATCATTGATAATAATCTTCAGAGATAACGTAATTGTATTGATTGTTTTGTGGTCCACAAAGAGAGGTTCAACACAATGTTTCACTCTTTGGAAGTTACTCAAGAGGTCGTTGTCTTTAGAAAATAGCCATTTTGACTTTTCGTCTCGGATTTGAACGTGTTTCAAGACAGCGAATCTAACTGTTCAAGAGTCTCAATACGTCATATTGTCAGCTGACTATAGTATTTGCGAGTACGTTCTCGTCTGCAGGTAATTTGAATCCATTTTACTGTACGTATTTTGGCTGGTGATAATTACTTTTCCATCAATGGTCCAGTTTTAGAGACTATATATATCACGATTATGGAAAGAGTATCTCACATTCTCACATTATGGAAGGAACTTCTCGAACACTTCCTTATACCATAAGATTCGTTGGTCTACTTGGCAGTCATTCTTTTGGTAGAAATCCCAAGTTTATGGCTACTGCGGTAGATTTAGGAAGGGAATTGATAAGGCAAAAGATTAAACTTGCCTGTGGAGGAGGTAGTGTTGGCCTTCAAGGAGTTGTTGCTTCAACAATCTTTACCAATGGTGGTCTCATTAGAGGTTTCATTCCTGGGTACATAGCAACATGACGGGTCTATGGACCTACGTACGGTGTCGAGCACACAGTTTCCAGTAATTACTACAAATATTTTGAGATGAATCATGCCGGGAAGCTTTCATTTTTCTTCCCGGAGGAGTTGACACTATGTAAGGTTTGTTCACTTTGATCTCGTGGGCTTTTGAAGGGTTACACAATAGACCCATTGGTCTCTTGAACATTGACGGTTATTTCAATAACCTAATCAAATTTCTAGACGATGCGTTGAGGCAGAACTTCATGTCTTTGAGTCAGAGGAAACTTTTCATATCTTCTTTCTTTGTTGATGAGCTTTTAGACAAACTAGAGTTTACTAAAGCGTTCTCGGGTCCAGGGGTTAGTTACGATGAGTTTGTGAATGCTGAAGACTAGACTTAGAATTGCATCTGTAACTTTCCTCTTGTAATCCAAGTTGTATCTTGTGTTGCAATGATATTATCCATAAATATTCTCCTAGGCTGTATGGCTAGTGCGAGCTACATTTTCTTTAATCTTCAGTCTTTCACTCTTGGTGTCACTGTCTTGTTTTGTATCATCACCACGTTGTGATCTTTCATGTTAATAGCGCATACAAATGAGTCGTCCTGATCTTTCATGTTAATTGCGCATACAAATGAGTCCATTTCAAAGTAAGGAGTAGCGATTCTTGATTGTTAGTTTGTTCAAGTTTCTTAACAGGGATTCGTGAGTATCCTGACCGTAAGTCAATCTTAGAGAATACAATGGATCCTCTAAGCTGATCAAATAAGTCATCGATACGAGGTAAGGGATAACGAATTGTTCAACTGACACTAGTTGATACAGAATCTCATCGATCCTTCTTTATTCACGTGTGAACAGAACAGGTATTCTCCCAAGGAGGGAACACTTGGTCAGATGATTCTTTCTCAAGTAATCTTTATAGTTGAGTTTTCAGTTTCGACGGAAACATATTCAATATGGAGTTACGAATATTGGCCCTCTCGAGGATTAAGATTGACAGAGATTTCAATTTTTCGGAACGGTGAAATATAAGGAAGTGACATACTTTCGGTACGTTCCTTCAGTTTAGATGTTTCTTTTTGCGTGTCACCCGAATAGACTTCACACTTCTTACGGTTGAGACGTTTTTGCATATATATTCAAGATGAACTTGATCGATTTAGAAATCAGCTTTGCTTTCACCTCTATGAGGTTTGCCATCATTGGTCTTCAGTTGAAGAATTCTTCGTCAAGAGTTGTTAACAGCAACGTCGTTCAATCAGCCTATGCATA